GCAAGGGTGCTCCTGTCCGTCTGGTCCCGGTTTGTTGCACGCTTGCTTACAGGGTCTTGGCTGCTTGGAAGGAATGTCGTCACGTGCTGATAATATAACTAGTGTCGACAACATTATGATTCGAATGATGCAGGTACCTATTTTATTCTTGTGTCTTGGACCCCCCCGTGCGTTGTGCGAACAGGCACACGAGAGAGGTGTGAGTTGCACCCCCTCCCCCCTTTGTTTAATCTTGCCGCTCCTTGTCTTACGTCTCGTTTTGCTTCTGGCTTTGGGTCGCGAGCAGGTTAGCTACGGGTCCAACAAGGAGGGCGGCGGGGGGGGCAAGAAGAAGAAAAACGCTCCCAAGGGGGACGGCGGCGGCGGCGAGGACGGTGAGAGAGGGGCGGGGGGGGGAGATGGGACTGCGAGGGTAGAGGGATTCGAAGAGTATGACTTACTTTTTGTTGAGAATACAAGAGCATCTCGAGAGGTATACATGGAGACAGGAGTTGGAGATGGGGAGAGACGCGTGCAGAGAGTGGACGAAGCAAAGCCAAGAGAGACGACGATCAGTTTTGCGTGCGCGTTCACTTTCCCGCACTTGCATCTCTGCTTCTGTCCCATACATCATACCCTGTGCTGACTTCACATGTGCGTGCGTTGCACATGTTCGTGCGTTGCTTGCTCGAAAAGGCGACGATGCCAAGCCGGCAAACAGCGGCGGCGGCGCGCGTCGCAAGAAGGCGGCCTACGCCGGAGGGCTGGTGCTCGAGCCGAAGAAGGGGCTGTACGACGAGTACATCCTTCTGCTCGACTTCAACAGCCTGTACCCTTCCCTTATCCAGGAGTACAACCTCTGCTTCACCACGATGAACTGGGCGGCCTGTGACATGTCTACCCCTGCCCAGGTGTGTGTTGTGTGTATCGATACTATCGACCGCGCTAACCGGCTAACCAATTGAAATACATCGTACTGTAGTGCGGTTAAACACGGAAAAATGGTTCCGAAAGGCCGTGATAGTCTGGGGCCCCGTGTGTTGGTGGGTAGGTGGGCGGGCCGACCTTTAGCGGATATGATCGGTCAAACGATGCGAGCAAGTCGCCGACGGGTGGTGATGTATATGGCGTGAGGTGGAGGTGGTGGTGGTGAAAGAGTGGAAGGTGTTCCGCGGATGCTTGTGCCGTTACCATGTCTCGGTGTGTGGCGGCGGGTGCGTTGTGTTGGTGCCCACAGATGGGCAGCACACTTTCTTCCAAACCTTCTGACCCCCGCCCCTCTTTTCGACGCCGCACGAAACGGCACTTGAAACACGACACCGCAATACGCTTGCTGCTGAGAAGGGAGGAGAAGACGACATGGACGAGGATGATGGCGCGGCCGCCTCCGCCGGCCCCAAGCTCCCCGACCTGCCCGCCGAGGGCATGGATATCGGGGTGCTCCCGAGGGTCATCCGCACCCTCGTCGAACGGCGGTCGGTAGTGAAGAAGATGCTCAAGAAGGAGAAGGTGCGTGGTCTATTGCGTACGTACTACATACGGCAGCAGTCATGGTCGGTGGGAGGCGGGCGGCCCGTTGGGTGGAGGCGTGCATAAGTGGACTACAATGCGGTCCACGTGTTCTATTCCGTACGGCAGCAGTCATGGTGATGAGGAAGTACGCGGCCCGTCTGGTTGAGGAGTGCACAAGTATGCACGGACCGGTCCATTCTGGAGTGTGGTTCGTCGTTCTTTCCCGCGAAGGATATTCATCCCCGTTCGACGGAAAAGTCTGTCTGTTCGTTCACCTTTTGGTTGTGTTTGTGTTCCCCCTCCCTTGCCCCGTTGTGTTTTGGTTTGGCTGCGTTTTTGTATCTCAGGACCCCTCCCGCAAGCAGGAGCTGGACATCAGGCAGAAGGCTTTGAAACTCACGGCCAACTCCATGTACGGCTGCCTCGGATTCTCCTTCAGGTACGGCACAGCAGTGTGTTGACGGAAGTAAAAGCGCAAAGCAAGAAGCGAAAAAAACCCCTGTGCAGCACGCGGCCAATAGCCATATGCCAGCCAGCTCTGCCGAAGCACCCCCACCGTCCCTGCCCCCCGTTCTTCGTCCTTTTCGTTCGACTTGGATATTTTCATATTCCATCTTTCCGCGTGGGTTTGGGTGCCGAGACTGGGTGGCATCGTAGCTGTAGTTGTCGGTTTCGGAAAGAGTTTTGGGGTGTAGCCGCAGCCGCAGCCGCAGCAGCAGACCCATCCTCGATGTCCACGCCGAAAATTTTTTGCAGTATTTTCTTTCTTTCCAGGTTGGGGGACTAGGCTAGCTAATAGGTTGCCCGCACGTGTTGGCATCACGGCAGCAACAGCAGCAGTCCGGTTTTCGTGAAGTCGCGTTCGACGAGCGCGGCGAATGTGGGGTGCAAGTATTCGTGCTTGATGTTTGGGCGGAAACGGTTTTGAATGTCTCGCAGAGCGCCGTGCTTTTGTCCACCAGTCAAGATACCTCTTGCCCCCATGTAGGCCTCTGTCCTACAGTAGTGTTCTTGGTTGCATTTGTACCCACGGGTCGATCGAGGCTAAGTATGCTTCGATTCGGTCACTATATTTCACTGACCGTGTTGGTCTACACACTAGCGCAGCGTGAAACATCAAAAGGTACGGACGATGTGTATGCTCACATACGGATCAGCGTGATGGCGGACCCGGTAACTTGTTTTCTGGTTTGTTTGCCGCGTTCCTGCTTAGAGTTTTTCTCGTTCAACCCCGTTTTGTTCCGTGCTTCCTTCCCTCCCTCAAAGCCCGAAAACAAACATGAAACTCGTGAAGCAACAGCCGGCTCTACGCCAAGCCCATCGCTAACCGTTACCCTAACCCCAATCCTATGAAAATAATTAAACAACAGCCGGTTCTACGCCAAGCCCATCGCGGCCTTGGTGACGGCCCAGGGGCGAGAGAGCCTCCAGCGCACGGTCGACCTGTCGGAGAACCAGCTGGGGCTAGAGGTCATCTACGGAGACACGGACAGCGTCATGATCAACACCCACAGCACCGACCTGAAGCAGGCAAGGGAGCAGCAACCTTGAAGAAAGCGAGCAAGAGCGTGTTGGTTGGATGTACGGTTGCTGCTGCTGCTTTCTCTCGTGGCGTGGGTGGGGAGCGCAGAGACTTGTGATGATGATTTTCGTGCCCGTGTGTTGCTCTGGGCTGTTTTGGAGGATTCTGCGGCGATCCCGCGTACGTGGTGTGATTGCTTGCGTTGTTAGGGTTATAGGGTTAGGGGAAACACGCACTGCGCCATTGTAGGGTGCCACGCTTTGTCCGAGCGTGTTTTTTCTGACCTCGCTCTCGTACTAAATAACGCTGTGTGCCGTGCTGTTCTTTGCGTGTTTTTTTTTTCTGACTCGCTCTCTCACCTATTTACCTGCATCTGCTTCGTTGTTTTTCCTTCTCGTTTCTTTCTTGGCTGTCTCATTTGTCCTCATTCCCTACATACCGACGCTGATGACGCGGCAAGCGCAGGTGAAAGACATCGGCAACCAGGTGAAGCGGGAGGTGAACAAGCTGTACAAGAGCCTCGAGCTCGACCTGGACGGGGTCTTCAAGAGCATGCTGCTGCTCAAGAAGAAGAAGTACGCCGCCCTCGTCGTCGTCGAGCACCCCGACGGGAGCATCACGTACGATAAGGAGATGAAGGTATGCATACATCCTCAACGACAGTTAGATGTATAGTTTCTCTCTAATTATCTTGGTACAGCAAGTTTCAACGATTCGACGTATGTATATGTACATGGTATTCCAGGCGAACGTTGTTGAGCTTTTTCCTTGTACAAACCAAACGCATCTGTTATCCAGAGATTGAAAAGAGTCGAGAATCAAGTAGCGATCAAGTCATAAGCGTTCCTTTCTTGTAGGTTTCCCTTTGCCCATTTGTTGGCTGTCGTCTGCAGAATAAGGTCCAGTAGTCGGCAAGATGATCCAAGTCTGTGATGAGGTCCGAAACGAAAAAAATAGCTGGACAACCAGTACACCAGCGACCAGGCCTTGGATCTCGTCGAGAACGCCTCAACAACCACGGAACCGACGTCCTGATTTGACCGGAACCTTTCGCGCGAGACAGCATACGAAAAACCAAACAACTCCTGAACCCCCTTCCGTACCCCCGTAAAAAAACACAGAGAGACAAGATGCCCCCAACTCATACCGAAAACCACGCCACAACCTGCACTATATCCCAACACGAATCGAAACTCACGACCCCCCCCCCCCCGACAATAATCCCATCACAAATGGACCCCCGGGACCCAGGGCCTGGACCTGGTGCGGCGCGAGTGGTGCACCCTCAGCAAGGACACGGGGAAGTTCGTGCTGGACAGGGTGCTGTCGGGGGAGGCTCGCGAGACCGTCGTAACCGGCATCCACGATCACCTGGAGGCGCTGGCGGCGTCGATGAGGGCCGGGGAGGTGGAGGTGCCGCGGTACGTGATCACCAAGGGGCTCAACAAGGCCCCCCACGAGTACCCGGACGCCAAGAGCCAGCCGCACGTGCAGGTGGGTTTGGTTGTAGGCAGATTGGGGACGTCGCTGCTGCTGTAGTTGTTGGTGCCCTTGCTGGTGCTGCTGTTGTTGTTGTTCCCTGCTGGTGCTGTGTCTGTTGTTGATGTGGTTGGTGGTGCTGCTGGTGCTGCTGGTGCTGTTGCTGCCACTGTGGTTGTATTTGCTGTCGTAGAGATTCGTGTCGAGGTCGTGACTAACTGTCGTCTCTTTTCGACCTCTTCTCGACGTCGAAAACGCGCTCACTAGCTTGGAATGGCCGTTTGCCTCAATTTATTTTCTCCTCGAGGAGCAAACGGGCCATGTGTGCGTAGTGAATCTTCTGTGCAATCGTTTATCCCCCGCAATCATGGAAAGAGCACCCGGAGACGGAAGCAAACGATCGAAGAACCAATTCTTCAACGTGCTTTTTTTGTATCGTTCTTGCAACATCAATGACATTTCACTTTTCTTCCAATTTTCAACATGTACGTTAACCTTCAATTCTCATTTTTTCGCACAGTTCCCGATATTGTTCACCTCATTGCCTTGTTTTTTATCCTTGTTTCTCCTGTTGCTCCCTAACGTTAAACAGGTGGCTTTGGCGATGATGAAGGCCGGCAAGTCCGTCAACGTCGGGCACCACATCCCCTACGTGATGTGCAAGATTGAGGGTGCGACCTCCCCCGCCGAGAGGGCGAGGCACCCGGACGATGTCCTCCGCAGCGGCGGAAAGCTCGAGGTCGACGTGGAGTGGTGAGTCGCCCGGCCATGCCGCTGCTGCTGCTGCTGCTGCCGTGCCGTCTTTTGCTGTGATGTTGGCGGAGAGTTGAGAGCGACTTTCTCATGGCGGGTTTTTTATTGGGTGGATTTTGATGATGACCTGCCGTCCGTCACTTTTTTTTTTTGGATGTTGGCGGAGAGATGAGAACGAAACGGACCTCTCATGGTGGGCATTAGATGGACGGGTTTTGATGTTGTTTGCCAGAGTCGACGTAGACTGGGGGGTAGGTCCGGCCGGTCACACCGCCGTGGGTCTGTGTCTAGTGGCGATGTTTCGTGGTGGTGACGTTGGTATAGTTGCCAGGTAGATGTGTATCTAGGTTGCATGATTTGATGTCGTTGGTGCTCGTGCTGCTGCTGCCTCCACGGTTGGGTTTCGGCCATCTTTTGACGTCCTCGCCTTGACGACGCCTCCCTACCCTTAAAACCGGACTCTTGACCCAAACCCTGAACGTTTTTAGGTACCTGAACCAGCAGATCGTGCCGCCCGTGAGCCGTCTGTGTGAGCCCATCGAGGGCACTTCCATGGCCGTGCTGGCGGAGAAGATGGGCCTCGACGCCTCCAAGTTTACTTCACACGTGAGTGCCTGCTGAGGTACACCCCCGGCGAGAACATTGCTGCGCAAATTTAGTCCTGTGTTTTTGCCAACTTTTTTCACTCGGGCAGAAATCACTTTTTTGTCGATCCGCTAGTCCAGCGCGTCTTCCCTCGGGTGTTCAGAACGTGCTTTTGTTTTATTTTCTTTAGGCTGCTTTCTTCGAAACTTACGGTGGTACAACCGCATGAGCACTCGCGAGTGATTTCCACTTTACTGTACTAGAACAGAATCAGCTTCCAGGCGGCGTTTATGCCCAAGTAACGATCGTCTCAAAAGTGCCTTGCTGCACATGGTGACTCCAGCAACAGCGCGAGGGTTTGATATCGCTCGCACCCCTTGTAAACGGCCTTTCAAAGATCGATTTTCGGCTCCACAACCATGAGGGCTATCGAAAGCCGACCGATAAGCGGGAGGAAAGCGGTCGACGAGATGTTTCCAGCGCAAGCATTTTCGGCATTTGACAGCCTCTTCGGTTTGTCGGAGCAATCGAACTGTGAAGAACGGTCTAGGGGAGAGGGGGAGCGATCACTCCGGCACTTTTACGGCATTCATGTGTCGGGCCACCGTGGGACACCGGCCGCGGGAATACCAGCTCATTTCCTTTGTGAGGAGTTTAGTCTTGAGAGTGGGCCTGTGCTACTTGCTTGCTACAGATGGTGACGAAGGCGACGCAAAGGGCAGTTTGCTTGACTTTCGTGTGTATTTCACTCCGTTTTTGTCAGCTAGTCTCAGATGTTCGCGCGGCCTGCCATCGAAACAAAAAAACAGGTGGAAAACCAGCTACAATTTTTTATTTTTCCATTTTTTTGTTTCCCTCAAAGCTCAGTGGTAGTCACGTCATGGACGACGCCGTAAGAGCTTAACAACGTCAGGGCGAGAGAAACCCCACGACCCAAACATAGACCAGAAGCTTACCCCCGCCCCCCCTCCCATAAAAAAACGCCTACACGCAGGCGAACGCCGCCGGAGGAGACGACGGCGACGACTGGGCCTTCACGCCCACCTCCAAGCTGCCCGACGCGGAGCGCTTCCGAGGGGTGGAGCCCCTGAAGATGACCTGCCGCGCGTGCCACGAGCAGGCGGAATTCCAGGGGGTGTTCTCGTGGGACCGGAAGAAGGCCGTCAACGGACCGGCCGACCTGAGGGTGAGAAGGGTTAGGGTGGTGGTTGGGGTCACAAGAAGAGACTCGTTCTCGTGTTTTGGAGAGCCTCTGCTCGTGCTTTGGTTGTTGATGATGACATGGATCCGTCCGTTGAATAGACAATAGGACGGAGCTTTTCTTTTTCGGGGGGGGGGAGGGCTTGCTTCTCGTGTTCGATGCACCCGCCTCCTCTCTCGCTGCCTTAAGCCTCTGATTGTTCGTTGCTCCAGCAGCCAGGTTTTAATGTGTCTACATGCGTTTTGCTGCATGTGTTTGATGTCTATCTCATCTCTGTCACCTCTGTATTTCTCGATCTTGATCTCGGTCTCTCTCTCTCTCTCTCATCTCCTTTTACCTGCCTCAATCTCGCAGCCGGGGCTCATGTGCCCCAACTCGGCGTGTGGCGCGTACTACTGGGGGGCCGGTAGCGAGGCGGCCTGCGTGAGCACCCTGTACCAACGGCTGACCCTCGCCGTAAGAAGGCACTTGAAGGTCTACTACCAGACGCACCTTCGCTGCGATGACAGGTGGGTGGGATCCCGCTTCTCTTGAATTGTGTTGTGGGGGGGGGGGTTCGCGGTGTGTGGACTTGTGTGCGGCAATTCGGACGCATTCACCTACCTGCCGTGGGTCTCTGTTTCATTTATTTTTGCCTCGACAGTATCGTAGGCCTTGTTGTTGCGGTTGCGGTTGCTACAAGCGATGTTGCGGGGGAGGCGGGGGGGGGTGTACTCGGGGGGGGGGGGGGG